AGCTTATTCCACTGTACCACCTTGAACACGCCCAATCTCATCTGATCTTGGAAGTTAAGCGGGGTCAGGCCTGGTTGGTACTTGGATGGGAGACCACTGGGAATACCAGATGCTGCAGGCTTTTTCAAGGTGACTTGCCCAGGGACAAGGAAAAAACAAATGTCAATTCAGTGGAACCATGAACCTACAAAGAGTTCTCCAGTATCCACAGGGATCTTTAGATAGGGCCAAAAGGAAGATTTCAGGGTGTTAGGGGTTTGTTCAGCAAAAAAGTGAGATAGCAGTTAGTCTTAGAATTAGTCAAGGATCAATATGGCGTTGGTTCAGAAGAGATTGGTTAAGCCGCGGATACGGAGATCCAAATTCTGGATGCGGTATCCGCGGCTTAAAGGATCACAGTTCCTTGCTCCCAGGATGCTGTCTGAGTGTCCCAGCCAAGCCTGTAAGGTTTTGCGGCTTGGAAAAGAGTTGGTTTCTGTGTTAGAGTCAGAGAAAGACACAATGTATCAAACGGAGAGCTGAAAGTTAGGAAAAGAGATACATTTTATTAGGGACTTTGTTACAAAGTGGCCAAAGGGAAACTGAAAGGAAGAAAGAGAAACTTCTGTTGGAGGTGCAGCTGGTGCACATGCCCCAGCTGAGAGTTCAGACCAATTTCATGTGGTGGTGAGATCTTGGATCTGCGGAACTCCCTGCTGCAACCAGCTGTGGTTTGATCAATTTGAAAGCAGGAGTCCTTGTGTTCAATGTCATTACCATCAGGAAGTTCTTCTAAATGTTTACATGTGATCACTTTTCCTGTAGTTTGAATCCATTTTTCTATGTCCTTGTCTCTGGAGAAGTAGGAAACAAGCTTGCTCCATCTTGAATACGATACCCTTTCCAATATTTAAACATGGCTATCATGTAACCTCTCAGCCTTATTTTGTCTACTATTCAGCTATATCTGCCTTCCTTACTGCGGCCAGAAATGACGACACTGCAAATGTTTTGGGATGAGGCTCAGATGGCATGCTTTTAAAGTCCATCGTGGGATTAAAAGCATGATCAAGATGCATGAAAATTCCATCTGTGTATTTGAACTGTGCTGACTCATTCACATACGGAAGCAGCAGTTCTTGTAGCTTTGTAAACTATCACCAAGCCTTGGACGTGCAAATGACATCCTTGTTGTACCATTCTTTAGAGACCTTGGTATTGAACGTGACACAGCAGTGAAGTTGTAATTAATCAACTATTTTGGTAATATGCCAATAGTGCTGGTGGCTCCCACGTCAGTAGGGTGGTGACTCCTTTCTGGTATATAGTGTGACCTTTAAAGGAGTTATCCAAATTAGTAGACCTATTTGGAGATAGAGTTCAACACCTTGGTGAGAAATAAAATTGAAACCTGGTGTGGGTTTGCCATCCGACCAGCTGCATGAGACCCCACATTTGATGGGTTAGGGGTTCAAGACTCCTATGAAAGTGAAAACCCTGAATAAAGACATACTTTTAAATATGACATAACATCTCCCTAGATCCTCCCGTGTGGCTCTTTGATGAACCGGTGGATGATGACCATACAATCACATTGGAGGACCTACAAATGCCCAGGGAAGTATTCTCCCTAGCAATCTCTAGGTCCTCTGGCACAACTATATGGTGAATAGTCTTGAGCACGGAACTATTTTTAGCCATTTCCTTCTGCCAATCTGGTTTCTTTGGTTTGTTCGGGTGCCCATAACGGCAAGTGCCTAACTGTCATGAATTCCCGTCTATAACAGGACCACGTGGCAGCCAATCTTGGCTCCTACTCCTCTATTCAGCATCATTTCCTTCATTTTCCTATATTTTCTTGGTTCTTTTTATTTAGTGGGTCTGACTGGGAGTTGGAGACATGTGGGATGGGTTTTTTTTTGTCTTGTCAGGAGTGACTTGAGAAACTGCAAGTCGCTTCTGGTGTGAGAGAATTGGCTGTCTGCAAGGACGTTGCCCAGGGGATGCCCAGATGATTTGATGTTTTTATCATCCTTGTGGAGGCTTCTCTCATGTCCCCACATGAGGAGCTGGAGCTGATAGAGGGAGCTCATCTGCCTCTCCCAGGATTCGAACCTGCGAGCTGTCAGTCTTCAGTCCTGCCGGCACAGGGGTTTAACCCACTGTGCCATCCACTGTGGGATGGGTGAGTGGGTTGCACACATGTGCTTGGGGGCTTGGGAGAAGCACTCTTTTAGTTTTTTTCCTTCTCCCCTTCCTTTCCTTCAAATATTTCTAAAAGATAACAATAAATATTATTAATCACAGCAAACAAAAAGAAAAGCCTCATTCTCAGAAAACTACTACTACCTAGTTACCTCTCCTCTAGAGTAGAAAGTAGAAACAGCTTTTGGGAAGCATTAAACCCGAAGCAGAAATTGGCTGGCAGTAGAGACAAAATAGGGTTGTTTTTTTTTAAAAAAAAAGAAGCCCAGAGATGATATCTCTAGGTCATCGCTCCTCCTTTTCTTGGCTTCCTTTAAATGCCTTGGAAAGCTGTGTGATGTGCTGCAGGGAGAGAAAGCGAGAAAGCACCTGCAGCACCTCTTCTCTAAAGTAGAAACAGCTTCAAGGAAGCATTAAACCTAAAGCCTGCAGTAGAGAAAAAAGAGGGCTTTTTAAAGGAAGCCCAGAGAAGATATCTCCAGGTCACCGCTCCTCCTTTCCTGGGCCTCCTTTAAATGCCTTGGAAAGCTGTGTGACGTGCTTCAAGGAGAGAAAACGAGAAAGCACCTGCCCGTAGACAACCATGAAGACAGAATAATAAACCTTTATGAATGTCATGGCATGGATGTGCTGCTTGCATTTCCTAAATTTGTAGTGGTGGGAAAACAAACATTCCAGCTCACATTTGAGTGGCTCACCTGCCATATGGGCATCCGGCAGATGAGAGGGAAACTTGGCTTATGAAGAGTTTCCAAGAGTGAAAGAAACAGAGAAGGATGAAGTCAGGGCTGGTTGCCAAATTGATAAGAAGAACGTAACGATTTTTCAAGGTGCCCCGCAGTCTTTCCATTGGTTGTTTCCTGTTTACCCAGATAAGTGGCTCATAAAACAAGCAAACAAAAGGAGCAAACCTGGATTCCTGGCAGAAGGATGAACAGCAGGGAAATGTTGCACTGCTTGCTGAGCAATATCACTAAATATCATTTCCCTGCAAAACTTTACTGGGAAGAGGACAAAATTCGGGTTGTACTGTATTTCCAGTTAGTTATACACTCTGAGGCCTACGTTCCCCAAAGGTGGTAAAGCCTTCCTTCCTTCAACCTTCTTCATTGTCTCTCTCAAACACACATACGCACATCGTAAGTGCAACATATGAAATACTTCTCCCCTATCTGTAGGTGTGGAATTGCTGGTTTCATTAATCCACATCTGACAACACATGCCCTGTCTTTTCTAGGTCCACTAGCATGACTCTATCTTATTCCTGGATCAGAAGTCCTTCATTTCAAAAGGGTTTGCTATTATCTGGGGTTTGTATATCCACGCAAGCCTGGAAATATATCCCCCGGAAGATATGGGGCCATACCGCACTGTGTAGAAAAACCTAATGCATCTTCCCTACAAGTAGTTCTCAACTTTCCTGATGCCATGACCCCTTATTATAGTTCCTCATGCTGTGGTGACCCCCAACCATAACATTATTTTCCTTGCTGCTGCATAACTGTGATGTTGCTACTGTTGTGAATTGTAATGTAAGAGAGGAGATTCCGTCTGAACATGAGGAAGAACTTCCTGACTGTGAGAGCCGTTCAGCAGTGGAACTCTCTGCCCCGGAGTGTGGTGGAGGCTCCTTCTTTGGAAGCTTTTAAGCCAAGGCTGGATGGCCATCTGTCAGGGGTGATTTGAATGCAATATTCCTGCTTCTTGGCAGGGGGTTGGACTGGATGGCCCATGAAGTCTCTTCCAACTCTTTGATTCTATGATTCTATGATTCTATCTGATATGCAGGATGTATTTTCATTCACTGGAACAAATTTGGCACAAATACTCCATACACGCAAATCTGAATAATGGGGAGCTGGGATTGATTTTGTCACTTGGGAGTTGTAGTTTCTCCTATTTATACTCAGCCTACAATCAAAGAGCATTCTGAACTCCACCAACGATGGAATTGAACCAAACTTGGCACACAGAACTCCCATGACCAACAGAAAATACTGGAAGGGTTTGGTGGGCATTGACCTTGAGTTTTGGAGTTGTAGTTCACCTACATCCAGAGAGCACTGTGGACTCAACAATGATGAGATTCCATCTGAACATGAGGAAGAACTTCCTGACTGTGAGAGCCGTTCAGCAGTGGAACTCTCTGCCCCGGATGTGGTGGAGGCGCCTTCTTTGGAAGCTTTTAAACAGAGGCTGGATGGCCATCTGTCAGGGGTGATTTGAATGCAATATTCCTGCTTCTTGGCAGGGGGTTGGACTGGATGGCCCATGAGGTCTCTTCCAACTCTTTGATTCTATGATTCTATGATGGATCTGGACAAACTTGGCACAAATACTCAATATGCCCAAATGTGAACATTGGTGGACTTAAGAGAAAATAGACTTGACATTTTGGAGTTGTAGTTGCTGGGATTTATAGTTCACATACAATCAAAGAGAATTCTGAACCCCACTATTAATAGAATTGGGCCAAACTTCCCACACAGAACCCTCAAAACCAACAGAAAATATGATGGTCTTTGGCAACTCCTCTGACACTCCTTCACAACCCCCTCAGAGGTCCTGACCCCCAGGTTGAGAAGCCCTGAGATAGATAGATAGATAGATAGATAGATAGATAGATAGATAGATAGATAGATAGATAGATAGAGGGGGAGGGAGGGACAGAGAGAGAGATGAAATGGTTGAATAGATAGACAGACAGAGTCCGTTGTCTAGGAATCTGATAACAAAATGGTTGTGTTTATTTCATAAACTGACAAGTTGTGATTATGTTTTTCTCTCTCCTCTCCCCTCCTTTCCATCTCTTTCAGGTATTTTGACTTTTATGAAGGCCCTTTAGAGTTCAACTCCTCAAAATGCCTGGAACTGAGAAAAGGCATCACTGATGTGAAGGTGCTCTCAATGTAAGTGGGGCCATTTAGTTTTGTGAGTGTTTTGTGGCTTCAACCAGACAGAACTGGGTTTGACTCTCCATTTAGGCATAAAGCTCCTCTTTGGTGTCTGGCCACCAGTTTGCAAGGTGAGTGGGAGGAGGGGGAATGCTTATGGTGTTTCATTGATGCAAACTATGTTGAAGAAGTTGAAATTGATTCAGCTTGGCTCAGAAGAGAGGAGAAGGTGGGATCTTGTTAGACAAGGAGAGATCATTATCGGACCTCTGGTTGAGAACTATCTCGTACCCGGGCTTTGATAGTTAATGTTAGCCCAGTTAACATCAGTGGCCATGCAACCACTCTGGCCACAAAACCAACCCACACAATGTTGTGAACTCTAAAATTAGAACAGCACAACAACAGAGAGGAAACAAACAAGGGCATCTAATCACCTCTCAACAAAAGATTGCTCCAGGCAATGCCAGGCAATCAAATGCTAATCAAGGTGGTCAGTTGAAACATTCACACCTAGCTCCAGCAGACAAGAGTCCTTTGTCTCACCCTGGTCATTCCACAGATATATAAACCCTTTTTCCTAGTTCCAACAGACCTCACTACATCTGAGGATGCTTGCCATAAATGCAGGCGAAACGTCAGGAGAAATGCCTCTAGAACATGGTCCGAAAAAACCTACAACAACCTTGTGAACGATTGTTGGCTTCTGTAAATTAATCTGAAATTTTTATGTCAGATTTTATGTTGTTTTATCATTTTTGTTTGATTACATTTAGTTTAATCTATTGATGTTAGGTTCTAATGTTGTTTTCACATGTGGGTTTTTTTGGGTTCTAATGTTGGTACTTGTTTGCTTAATGGAGGCATTGAATGTTTGCCGTTGTATGTTGGAATCCACCCTGAGTCCCTCTGGAAAGATGGGGCAGGATATAAGTAAAGTTTTATTATTCTTCCCAGTAGACTAAGGCAAAAGGAAACGATCACTGCCCTGTCGTGGCGCTGGAGCTTGAGCACTTCAATGATGTCATGAGCGAAACCGTGAAGGACCACCCAAGACGGGACGGTCGTGGCAGAGAGGTCAGACCAAACGTGATCCCTGGGGAAGGCAATGGCAAACCACCCCAGTATCCTTGCCAAGAAAACTAAATGGACCAGTACAACCAGAGATATGTCGGTATGCCATTGGAAGATGGGATTTCCAGATCGGAAGATGGTCAAAATGCTACTGGGGAGGAACAGAGGATAAGTTCAACTAGACTCAGATGTGATGACGCAGCTAGCTCAAAGCCGAAAGGAAGGCTAGCGGCCGACGGTACTGGAGGTGAACGACGAATCCGATGCTCTAAAGATCAACACACCATAGGAACCTGGAATGTAAGATCTATGAGCCACGGCAAATTGGATGTTGTTATTGGTGAGATGTCAAGACTAAAGATAGACATTCTGGGGGTCAGCGAACTGAAATGGACTGGAATGGGCCACTTCACATCAGATGGCCACCAGATCTACTACTGCGGACAAGAGGAACATCGAAGAAATGGAGTAGCCTTCATAATTAATAAGAAATTCGCTAAAGCGGTGCTTGGATACAACCCAAAAAATGACAGAATGATCTCAATTCGAGTGCAAGGAAAGCCTTTCAACATTACAGTGATCCAAATATATGCCCCAACCACAGCTGCTGAAGAAGCAGAAGTAGATCAATTCTATGAGGATCTGCAGGACCTACTGGATAATACACCAAAAAGAGACATTATTTTCATTACAGGAGACTGGAATGCCAAGGTGGGAAGTCAAATGACAAGGGATCACAGGCAAGCATGGTCTGGGAGAACAAAATGAAGCGGGACGCAGGCTGATAGAATTTTGCCAGGAAAACTCGCTGTGTATAACGAATACTCTCTTCCAACAACCTAAAAGACGGCTTTATACATGGACCTCACCAGACGGTCAACACCGAAATCAGATTGACTACATCCTTTGCAGCCAAAGGTGGCGGACATCCATCCAGTCGGTGAAAACAAGACCTGGGGCTGACTGTAGCTCAGATCACGAACTTCTTATTGCCCAATTTAGAATAAAACTAAAAAGATCAGGGAAAATACACAGACCAGTTAGATATGATCTCACTAACATTCCTAGCGAATATACAGTGGAAGTGAAGAACAGATTTGAAGGACTAGATTTAGTAAACAGAGTCCCAGAAGAACTATGGACAGAAGTCCGAGACATTGTTCAGGAGGCGGCAACAAAGTACGTCCCAAAGAAAAAGAAAACCAAGAAGGCAAAATGGTTGTCTGCTGAGACACTGAAAGTAGCCCAAGAAAGGAGGAAAGCAAAAGGAAACAGGGATAAGGGGAGATATGCCCAGTTGAATGCGCAATTCCAGAGGTTAGCCAGAAGAGATAAGGAACTATTTTTAAATAAGCAATGCATGGAAGTGGAAGAAGACAACAGAATAGGAAGGACAAGAGACCTCTTCCAGAAAATTAGAAACATTGGAGGTAAATTTCAGGCAAAAATTGGTATGATAAGAAACAAAGATGGCAGGGACCTAACAGAATCTGAAGAGATCAAGAGAAGGTGGCGAGACTATACAGAAGATCTGTATAGGAAGGATAATAATATTGAGGATAGTTTTGACGGTGTGGTGAATGAATTAGAACCAGACATCCTGAGGAGTGAGGTTGAATGGGCCTTAAGAAGCATTGCTAACAACAAGGCAGCAGGAGACGACGGGATCCCAGCTGAACTGTTTTAAATCTTAAAAGATGATGCTGTCAAGGTGATGCATGCCATTTGCCAGCAAATATGGAAAACACAAGAATGGCCATCAGACTGGAAAAAATCAACTGTATATCCCCATACCAAAAAAGGGAAATGCGAAAGACTGCTCAAACTTCCGTACAGTGGCCCTTATTTCTCATGCCAGTAAGGTAATGCTCAAGATCCTGCAAGGAAGACTCCAGCAATACATGGAGCGAGAGTTGCCAGATGTTCAAGCTGGGTTTAGAAAAGGCAGAGGAACGAGAGACCAGATTGCCAATATCCGCTGGATAATGGAGAAAGGCAGGTAGTTTCAGAAAAACATCTACTTCTGCTTCATTGACTATTCTAAAGCCTTTGACTGTGTGGATCATAATAAATTGTGGCAAGTTCTTAGTGGGATGGGCATCCCAAGCCACCTTGTCTCTCTCCTGAGGAATCTGTACAAGGACCAAGTAGCAACAGTCAGAACTGACTACGGAACAACAGACTGGTTCAAGATTGGGAAAGGCGTACGGCAAGGCTGCATCCTCTCACCCAACCTTTTTAACTTGTATGCAGAACACATCATGCGATGTGCGGGGCTGGATGAATGCAAGGCTGGGGTGGAAATTGCTGGAAGAAACATTAACAACCTCAGATATGCAGATGACACCACCCTGATGGCCGAAAGCGAGGAGGAGCTGAGGAGCCTTCTAATCAAGGTGAAAGAAGAAAGCGCAAAAGCCCGGGTTGCAGCTAAACGTCAAAAAAACCAAGATTATGGCAACAAGAATGATTGACAACTGGAAAATAGAAGGAGAAACCTGTGGAGGCCGTGACAGACTTTGTATTTCTAGGCGCAAAGATTACTGCAGATGCAGACTGTAGCCAGGAAATCATAAGACGCTTACTTCTTGGGAGGAGAGCAATGTCCAGTCTCGATAAAATAGTAAAGAGCAGAGACATCAGACTGGCAACAAAGATCCGCCTAGTCAAAGCCATGGTATTCCCTGTAGTCACCTACGGATGTGAGAGCTGGACCTTAGGGAAGGCTGAGCGAAGGAAGATCGATGCTTTTGAACTGTGGTGTTGGAGGAAAGTGCTGAGAGTGCCTTGGACTGCGAGAAGATCCAACCAGTCCATCCTCCAGGAAATAAAGCCCGACTGCTCATTGGAGGGAAAGATACTAGAGACAAAGTTGAAGTACTTTGGCCACATCATGAGAAGACAGGAAAGCCTAGAGAAGACAATTATGCTGGGGAAAGTGGAAGGCAAAAGGAAGAGAGGCCGACCAAGGGCAAGATGGATGGACGGCATCCTTGAAGTGACTGGACTGACCTTGGGGAGCTGGGGGTGGTAACGGCCGACAGGGAGCTCTGGCGTGGGCTGGTCCATGAGGTCACGAAGAGTCGGAGACGACTGAACGAATGAACAACAACAAGACTAAGGCAAAAGGAAACTGCTGCAGGCTCTCCTCCTTTTCTCTTTCTCACTTCCCATCTTGACCATCCCCTGATGTTTCTTGGCCACTCGTGTTCCAGTTTTCATCCTTAAAATACTGGAGTGGGTGAAACTCCCAGTTCTGATTAGAATACTAAATTTTACAGCATTTTAAGGAGAGAATTGCTGTTGAAAACCCAATCAGGATAGTAAATAGTAAATACAAAAGTGGAACAAAATCTCAGGTTATTAAAAAAAGAAGACCAACACATTCCAAACAGTAAATATTTGTTTGGGACTGTTATGAAAGGCCTGTAAGGTACAGACCCATTCATAAGTACAGTCCTTCACATTTATGGGTTTCACTTTTTGCAGATTTAGTTACTGATGGATTCAGTTAGGTTCTGTCTAGTATCTCCAATGCAATGCTATGGTCAACTTCCACCAGTGTTGTCTTGGAAGACTTAGGTCACATGTGTCAAACTCATGTCTTGCGGTCCAAATCCATCCCCTCATTTTATGTGTCCCTCCAGATGCTGGACTGCAACTCCTATATACTTCACCATTAGATATCATGATTAGAGGTGATGGGAGTTGGGATACGGTAACATCTGGAAGGTTGCAGTTTGTTCTGCTTAGTTAAGATAGTGAGGCTTGAATTTAGATCCTGTGAATATGATGTCTGACTTCAAAATGTTTTTTAACCTTTCTCTAACCTCAGAGCTACAAATACTGTTGGGTTGCAATTCCCATTATCCACAGTCCACATAGTGGATAATCAAAAGTGATAGAAGTCATTGTTTGATAACATTTGGGGACCCAAACTG